TTTGGTACCGGGGATTGAACTCAGGTCCTTGCGCTTGCAAGGCAGGCCGCCAAACCGCTAAGCTAAATCCCCAGCCCCTAGTACAATATATCTTAAATCTATTCATTTTTACTAGAGCTGCTTTAGTCCTAACTATTATGTTCTCGCATGGATTATAACTTCTTCTAACTGGAGACTTCGTGTCCACTCCTGTTCTCACAATTGCATTATCACTAGAGACATTGTGTTTTTTGAAAAGTACAGATCAAATCTTGTGATTCCCCTGCTTAAAGCCATTAAATGATTCTTACTGAATTTAGAATAAAATCCCAATCCTACAAGACTGTCTACCTATACTTTGTCTCATGAGTCCTTTCATCACAGACCACTTTTCCCCTGGCTCAGTGAAATGTGTCAAGCTTTTACCTCAAATCCTTTACCCTTACTCTTCTTTCTCATGGGATCCTTTACCCATATTGCTCCTCCTGGAATGCTTCTATCTCTAGCTTTGGCATGGCTAGCTATTCTTCATCCTTTGGTTCTTGGCGTGTCACTTCCTCAGACAGACCTTCCCTTTTTATTCTATCTTATTCTCTCAGGGTTTCCTGTTTTGTTTTGTTTCAATTCATTGCACTTCTCACAATCTGTGTACAGTATTTGGTCACATACCTTTGATTCATTCAATAAGTGCTTATTGGTTACCTACTATGTGTAGTGCGATATCCAGCAGCAAACACAACACAGTCCCTAACTGCCTTCCTCAATAATAAGTTCAATGGGGAAAGTCCATGCCTGCTTTTGCCAACCACTGTATGCTACCATAGTACCCGGGACATAGTAATCAATGATTGTTAAAATGAGTTAATGATCAGAACAGTTTCATTGATATTTACATCTCCCTCAAGGGTCTAAAACAGGGCTCCATTCATACAAATGGTTGGATAAATGCAATATGAATGAAACACATAATCCTGGATATTAAACTCTGAAAAATGAAATAGATGATTAAGTGCTACAGGTTATGGGGGTCTGGGGCAGCCATTGCGAGTGGCCTAGTTTCTCTTCAGTTAATCTTTGGTGTGAATAATTTGAAGGGCTGCCAGGAAGAAAAGGAACATGGGTGTTCTTTACCCCAAACATTCTGAATATTATCAAAAAGAAGCTTCCTAGCATGCAAGTTTTAAATACTGAGAACTATAGAACATAACCTGGAGAATGTTATAGAGACTAGGCTTTGGGAGTAAAGACAGTAAAAGAGAAAAAAAATTCTGAGAGGGTTTCTGTTCTCTTTGATAGCGATGACATTTCATTTCAAGTGCAGAAAGAAGAGCTATCCACAAGCAGAGGACAGAACAAATCTCAAGTAAAAAATTTCCACGCACATGTTAGGAGGTCAGCACATACTTGTCGGATGAACAAATGGGCAACTAGAAGCCTCATGACACCAGGGAATAGGACCATGCTCACTTATAGTCAGTTATTTTAAATAATCTGGGATAACTAGAAAAAGAGGCTTAACTGGAAACTTCTTAGTTCCCAGTGTCACCAGAGTGGGTCTGAGAAGGTCCCTGAAGCTGAAATAAGTTCCTAACCCACCCTTTTATAGAATTGAAATGGCAAAGTCTCCATCTTTAGCTCGCTGAAGGATGGAAAGCACACTAGGAGTCTCAGAGGCAAAGTGAAAGTAAAGCGCTCAGCAAAGGAGGAGATAACTCTGGGAGGAGTGGGGGTTACAGATAAGGCACATCTAACATACATTTATTGGTTACAGAGTTTGATAGGTGGGCTCAGTCATGGTATTGGCTTACACATGATGCTGGCAGCGTGCTTATAGGGTACTTTAGAATAAGAGGCTTATATTTTATTTGCATTCTCGTGAAGTGACAAAACTTCTAGAGACAAAAGACATTACTGAGCTTGGACATACTGTGAGGCAGGACAGACCAGGATATGTTGAACAAAGAAAATTTCAAGTAGGCAATTTCCCCATAGTTAGTCCAGCTTGAACCATGGAGACAAAATTCCCCTTTCAGAATAAGTTTGCAGGTTCTCTGACTTCCATGGTAGAAAAATAATTTTCAAGATGTGTCAGTAAGAGGCACAAGAAGGGTTTATTAAGCAGAGATTTTTAGCACACACAAGAGTAGAGTGGGCCCTGAGAGAAATGATACGCATTAAAGTTTGCAACTAGGTGTTAGATTTACCTTCCTCGAGATGGATGCTACATAAAACAGTAGCCTTCTTCCCATAATGCTCTGTGCCTTAAAATGGCTGCCACATGGAATAGTATCCTCCATGTTAAATATGGCTTCTCCTACCAAGGGGCAGCCTTATTCCCATCATGCCTCTCTTTGTGCCAAAAGAGTAACCTTATACTTGCTACCTCCAAGTAACCAGTGATGTCACAAGCCCCTCTTGGTGATGTCACAGGTTCCTCAAATCTCTTAATACTACCTCACTCAACTCCACCCCAGTTCAGGTTAGCTCCACCCCACTCTTATAAAAGAAGTTCCCTGTTCCTCCATGCTGCTTTTCCCTTTGTTAAGAGACATC